AATATATATATATATATATATATATATATTTTTGTGAAGTGAGTCATTAATCTTTCTATTTTTTATTATCTGTTCAGAATATCATGATGACATAAATCATCATGGTAATAAAATGTTTTGCGGAAATAACTATTCTAGCATTAATGTCTTCTATTACGTTACAATCCATATATCACGGATAATAAATTATATTCAACATAATTATATCGCTACGGCAATACCAGTTTTTTCATTCGCGTGAAAAATGTTTTTGAATATCAAGCGTGTAGAGAAGCGTATATCTCATCGATCGTTGACGTCCGCCGCATCTTTCTGAAAAAAAGCTTGCTATATTGCTTGCGGCACGACGTTCGCTGTCGCAGTTTATCGTTACTTTGTTGCTCGTGCGAGCGCCATCGACGACGCTCTGATAACCGTGATAACATTTGCGTGATCAGCCATGAGTTAATCGTATGCGCACGAAGGGAGGAGTGTATGTACGCGCAAGCGTGCTGTACATGAGAAATAACGAAACACGGGCGCGCACCCACGTATAGTTTAAGCGTAGCCCAATAGATGGCAGCTCCATTATCTTTGCCCGTTTGCTTGGCATCAGAGAGTGCGCCGCTTGCACCGTATCGCGCTAAGCCATCCCATATTAGTCCAGGTAATCTCCAAAGAGTCAATGTCGGCCAAGTGTCCCCGGTACGGATCGATCTTTTCCAAGAGATATTATCTCCACGTCACACAGAAGAACGCGGGTCGCCAAGCCTTTTATCGGCTCGTATTTATTGCAACGGATTTCTGTCCGCACTTAATTAAGCCTTTGAGGCCTACCGGTCATCGTTATGCGCACTTATATCACGGAACAGAATAAATTTAACATAAAGTATGGCTTTATCAAATTCACCGGTTTCACTGTGAAATAAGTATTCTGTTCGTTTGTACGATTAGTAAAATTCAAATGAGCTATTTAAGAGAAATATTGTCTTTTTATTAAACGATTATGTGTGTGTATGTGTGTGTATGTACACAC